CATCATCATCATCATCATCATCATCATCATCATCATCATCATCATCATCATCACCATCATCATCATCATCATCATCATCATTGTTTTAACAATTACGCGTATTATTCTCATGATTTTTAGTAGTAGCGTAACGCTGCTGTGTTTGTTGATTTTGATTTCGTCAGTTTTATTGTTTCGTCTTACTAATTTTATTCTTTTCCTCAATGACTCCATGTTTTAGTGGGTGTATTCTATTATCATTCTTTTATTTAGTGACAGAATCTAAGCACTCGGGCCATATCTTTAAGAGCAGTTGAAACAAACCTATGAATATTCAGAAAGTTGAAAACCTCCAGAAAGGGCGACATTTGAGACCAGACTTTGAATTGTGATTCCCGTATTTACTCGACAAACTTGCAAAACAATTATCGAAATCTAAACTCTCTAGTAATTTCAGTTCCTTTCTTAAAGCAAACATGGTCGGTTTTACAATTTACAAGCAATTAACGTTGGTAACAAAAACTCGGTAAAAGAAAATCACGACCCCTTCATTCTTACAACGCGTTTAAAAACATCTTTCTTACGTGACGTCATGGTGACCCAAAATGTTGGTACTCGGAGAATGATTCCAAATTTGGAAGAAAAAAAAAGAGGGCCAATCTGAAGATTGCTGACCTCTGAGACAGGCAAAATGCCCATCACAACAACGATCTCGCCTACTACTTCAGGGCTAAAATTAAATTGAACTCAAACTCTACTTTCAATGCTGACTATAAAAATTACAGCGTCCCGTGTGCCTAGCCACATAATGTATAACTCCCAGCTAAAACAAAAACTTTTAAAAATAAGAGATTTTCAATCAACCTTTGAAGATAGTTGTTATTTTCTCTTGTTGAATCATGTTTTCCCTTCTGTCCAAATGTTAGCATCCTACTATCACAAAGGGAGACCCACCACAAAGGGGGGGGGGTGGATTAATGTTTTGCTGCAATATGGCAGCGGTGTTGTTTTTTATGCAATTCGAATAATAATTTTTTAACATATTTTCGTTTAGACGAGTTGTCTGTGTTGTTTATCAAGTTCTGCCATTGTTTTTAACCTTACTTAGAATCAATATAAGTGTTTTCCTTGACAACGTTGATTCTCTGTGTTTGTAGATGATTGTTGCATTATGTGATGAAAGTGTGCGTACTAGAGGGCAGGCGTACACATTTCAACAAATCTGTCGAAAATATCAGTGTGATTGAAATAAAAAAGATTCTCCATGTTCAACCCATCTGTCCCAGTGGTTTTTTACACCCCGCATAATTTAGCAAAATTTGATCATTTTTTTGCATAATTTCTTATTATTTTCCTTTATCATTCTTTGTAAAAAAAAAAAAAAATGAACAGAATCGCTTAATTTCACATTTTTGGGCTCAGTTTGCATAATTTCAGAATTTTTCTTACATAAAACGACGGGGACAGACCCATTTTCTGAATCTGGGGCTATTGTCAATTTTCTGAACTCATGCATTTAACAGACGTCTTATATGGTTATTTTTCTTGGAAAGTATTCACAGAACAACCCCTCCCCCCACCAACAAAAATAAATTGGCCATAAAACTAAAATATGAGAAACGACGCTCTCAACTTTTGTGGTACTTTTCATTACATAAGCGACAATAAACACTTACTATTATTGTTGCTCTGATTATTTTCTTTTTCCCCTTTTTTTCCTATGTCTGCCTTTTTCTTTTTTTTTCACAGTAAATGATACTTTTGGCCAAAGAGTTTTAATTCAATAGTTAGCTGGAAAATGAATGTGTGGATGAGAAATATATTGCATTATACGAGTATTATATTGAGCTACAATGGGAGACGTAAGAATGGAAGGTCGCCACTGAAATCAAGACATTTAAATTTTGAAGAAAACAAAAACCAGAATGGATTTTGAAAGTTGAATATGGAAATATTTTAAAGCTTTGCGCACTCGATTTGTGGCCTGTTACCTTGTTCTTGTAAGTAACTCAATTTTGTTTGGTATGTCTGTTTCCTAATTTTCTGAGGCGGTCATGCATTTGAGAAATTTTATTTTCATAATAAACAGTAGGATCATTCAGCAGATCGTCCGTTTCTGCTCACACATCTTGTTTGCAGTGAAGTAAGTTTTCATACGTAGCTGTACATAACAGGGACTTGATTTCAATCTTTTTCCAACTGATGGCTTTATGCGTATTTCAAGACCTATAAATTATGCTTTACGTATGCACGAATGCGTTTATATATCTGTGGGAGGCCGTGTGTGAGTTTGCGTTGTTTGTGTGAGTTTGTATGAGTATGGGTGTATGTATGTATGTGTGTGTGTGAGTGTGTGTTAGTGTGTGTGTGTGCGTGTGTGAGTTTGCGTTTTTTGTGTGGGTTTGTATGAGTATGGGTGTATG